GGCAGCTTTGGTCGGAAAATTATATATTTCCTCGGAAGGAGGACGGGATATCAATAACTACACGTAGTTATATACATAGATGAAAATAAAGGTCTCGCATAATTAATTTTATTCCTAACTTTGCTTAGAACGTGCATTGCTTTGATTTGGTCTAACCGATATTCATTGCGTTTCTGTATCATTGTCTATATTTGTTAAATAATTTTTAGAATTGACGCTATTGCAAAGTATTATTTTTAATCATTAATTGTTTCCGTTCGGATGCCTCAACGCTAACGCAATGAGGTTATTTTGGTCACATCCGTTACAAATCTACTCACTAAACGAATGAACCAAATGTGATGTCGGAAATGCTAATTTCGAGAATAATTATGTGTGAACTATTTCCAGCTATCCAGTTTCGTTGTTCTCTCCCCAAATCAAGGAAGTCGCTAAATCTAGTATTCTCTGAGTCAATTTGCCAATTTTGCACCACGCTTTGAATTTCTCAATATCTAGGGACTTCATTCAGAGTTCTTAATAGTTTTAAAACTTTCCCTTGTGATTTGTTCTAACTTGACAATAACGTTATTGTCTTTTAGATAAACAATAGAATAGTTTTGATTATGAATATCACCTATTTGTTCTTAAATCGCTGGATTTTATTGAAAATTTAAACATTGTCAGTGTGTTTTTCCCACGATCAGTTTTTGTAGCAACTGGGATAATTTTTTACAGAGAAGCCTGATATTTGTTTTCTTCCTCAGTTCGGGTACATTATAACTTATCCTCGCGATAATACGGTTATGCACGAATGTGACAATCGGTTGTTGGACGTGTGCACTGTATAAACCTGCAAGTCAATGAAGCTGGCATCACAGTTGTCAGCTTTAGCGCGAGTCATCTCCATATCCCCCTCAAGTGGTGTAAGAAGTATAATGCTTGTATAAAAACCTATAAAAATATTTTATTTGAATACATATTTGCATATAGTTCGATAGCGTGATTTCGGGTTTATTTGATTCAGGGCAAATGCGTCCTCCCAGCAAACGGATAATTTTTGGCAAGTTTTACGTGGTAAACTGAATAACTAAATTATACGAAACAATTTTTGAAGTTTCTCGTTGACTTAAAATTTTGAACTTCGTGTTAAACTCCATATTATTTAGTATCTGAGAAGTTGCTCAACACCAATAGTTCAATTGTGGTTGCAAAAGTCTATTGGTTAGTCAGTTAGGTAGTGGATTTTTTAAAGTTTATACATTTTTGTGGTGTGCGTCATGGAAAGTGGAAATTTTAACTTAAAAATCGCATCGTCAGTTTCTACGACGTGATACAATTTTGAAATAAAAGTACCCTCATATCACGTGATAAATTAGAAAACCCCAACCTATATTTAGTAAAGTATTCTATTTACATTTTTCGGAAATTGCGAAATATTTTGTTAAAAATTTTCCAATTTCGAAGTGGGTAAGCAAATAAAAGCAGCAATCTGTATAATTTCAGCAAGCATTGTTAATCGATTTAGAGACTATAATGTGTGATCGGAAGCAAGAAGATTTTCCGATTCAGAATAATTTATTCGTTAAAAACTTGAAAAAAATATTCAGATTGTTAGATCTGAACAATTTTCAAATATTAAAAACGCAAAGACAGATATATACTATTTGGATAATTGTGATGATATGGAGAAAAATTGGCAAGCGAGTTACACGCTGTCGCCGTAGTCAATACCGTTATGCAGCGTAGTTTTTTAAGTTCTGAAATGGAAAATCATAATTATTATTCTAACGTTGTGTTCAGTGCCGTGGTTTCACATTTCATGACGTGACACAACTGCTTTGTATATATATATATGTTACATAGGGATACCCAGGAAATTGTATTACAAATTGTAAAAACTTCCGAATAAGTCGGAACTGTGTCGCTGACAGCAAGCATAACTGAAACAAAAATGCTATATGTTTTATGCATTATATAGTGAAATATATATGACAGAGCTTATACCAGATTAACGCACATACTCACACAAGCACACTTTACGTAATTATACCATACATAGTGCAAAAGGCAGTATATTTATCAATAATTGTCTCAAAAATTTACTCAATTACGAGAAGTCATATTGGCTTCTTGGTGTATTAAAATTTTTACAGCCAAAATAGCTATATACCACATATAGCTATACAGCTATGTTCCAATTAATCAAGTTCTACGAGAAAAAAGTTGTGTCCGTTGGTGGCGTCGTCGCCGGTTGTTGGATGTATTCGTATTTCCCGCGCATTTATTCAATTGCTGTTCCGTCCGTTGTTACATAACAACAGAGTTTGTTCTGGAAAGAGACATTTCCCTGGAAATGCTGATTTATCCGCTTCCCTTCATCAACTAACTATGTACTCAAATATTGTAAAATGTAAATATATTGCTGTAATTCAAAAATTACATCGTTTATTAACTACATGTTGACTCATAGAATTAAGGTGATGATTGATGTATTGGTATGTTACAATGTCATGTTAACAACTCTCATTTTAGTATTAAATAGAAAAACTGTAAATTTTCAAAACATTTGTCAAATGCTCAATTCTATATAATCGAATATCTTTTTTTTTCTCTGTTAAAAGTGAAAAAGAAACCACAGTATAGAATGTGGATGTAATAGAAAAAGTTTTTTAAACAGGATTTAGATAGCGATGCGTTAAGACCTTTGTAACTATAATGATATCAATATCAATTCGGCAAGCAGCTAAGATGTATTTGTCTGCCGATCATGAGTTCAGCGAAGGTAAACTATATTATTTTCTAGTTATAAAGCTGCGAATAATGAAATCGTTTGACAGTTAGTATGAATTCGTTAAAATATATACTGGTTGTGTTGTTGCTGAACCACGGCTGTAATTCCACCGATTATTACCCGAATACGAACAGATTGAATAGGTAAAAATCCGTTTGATCAGTATAGAGTGAGAGTCGCGAGATCTTGAAAATCTTTTTTTGTACTGTATTAGACAACCCGTAGTTATCAAGAATAGTATGATTGAGAACTCAGTAAACTGATCATTATAGAGAAGTGAAATAAAGTACTACTCTGAGATATTTCTCAAAACAACTTCGTCACAAGATATGATCACATCTTTACGTCATAAATTTACAAGTTTCACCTTTATATCATTAGCGAGTGAAATAACTTCTGAGATGGTGATGCAATCAAAACCAAATTTGATCCATAGATGAAATCCATAAAATCATAAACGCAAGTTTAAATTCATGCTGGAAAAATATTATATAAATAGTAGTGCTTCTAAATCTGAACTTTTCTATAAACAGAAGTAAACCAAAACAAATTATTAAAAGGTCGAGAAATGTTTTTGTTGCCTTATCAAGCTGATCACGATTGTGTTAAAAATATACATCTTCACGATTGTTCATGCCTAACGGCAATAGAAAATCTATATTAATGCGATGATCGCTAGAAAAGAATTATGTGACTGATGGCGATAACCAGACCACTCCTAAAAAATCCATCAAAACGCAGAATTAATTGTTAATTTAATTGTTGCTATACCGCTATAAAAATTATGCCGTAGGATAATGAATTGTGTAATTTTGCTGGTAAGTAAGACTAAAATTCAAATAATCAATATCCGTGTATTATTCAAATCATTACTGAGCCCTCAGCTTATAAAAATTCTCAGAAATCGGGTAATTTGGATGAATGGATAATATGGAGGAAGTATACCTTCATAAAACTATATGTCTACACAATGCAAATTGAAATTTTCCACTGTGACCTCAAACGAGAGCCAATAGTTAGTATACTTAAAAGCCATAATTGCGATTTCCAATTCCAACAAAGATAATATAAAAGCACAACCCCTGTTTAAGGTAGAAATGGCTTTAGGCATCTTCGGTTTCAAACACCAATGTAAAAGAATCTGCTATTAAAAATACCAAAATTTAGTCACGTGACGTATTTATTCTGCTGCAATGCTTTTTTATTCCATGAAACTTGGGTATAACGAGTGTAATTAATTTACCGACAATATTTTTTCTTTATTGGAGTATTTAAATTGCAAATCTATAGTTCTATAGACGCATTGCACCAAATGTTTCAAAGTAGAACTTCTTCATATGAAGTGTAGTAGGTTTTCAAGTGCGAAAACTTTACTCATGTGCGTAATAGACCTATTTATTTTAATTGTGTTCGATCCAAATATAGACCGCCGTTTTGAAAATTGCAACGCAATAATACGTCTACATTAATTTATGAGTAATGTTTAGTGATGTATTAAGTAGAGGCCGCTAAAAAGATTTAATAGCTATTAGACAAGTATGAACAGACGTTCTCAATGATTAAAAATACGAAACAATTTATTCGAAAGATTAAAGGGGGAAGAGTTGCATCGTCTCAAAATTTAATTCTGAGTAATCTACTTGTCTTATTTATAAGTCAAAAAATGTATTGCATGGAACCTAAAACATTGAAATTGTTTCCCAGATAAGTCATACAATCATATACAAATAGGTTGGATAATTCAAATTACTGCTAATTCATAGACGAAATTGGCGGCAGGTTTCCATCGCGTAAGAGCGATATTTATTAAATATAGTGTGGGAATAACTAAAACAGACGACATATTTTCAGAATGTATTTTCCTACACATGTTTGATACTATCTACTATAATGAATGTATTATAAACGCGAAAATTATAGTTCTACTTTTGATAACGGGGGATCGTAGACAACATCACCAAATAAAAATGGCGATTTTTTTGCCGGTCCAAAGTACCAAGAACTACGGGATACAAAAATCTAAGCGGCCGCAAGGGTGTCTGAATTCGTCGAATTATTTTTATGGAAAATATATTATTTAAAATTAAATTATATACTGATAAACGATTAGCCCATTTCGCATATCTTCCCGTAGGACTAGCTATGTGACTAATATTCGCATGCATATATGTCTATCGATAAAGCAAATCTTAGATGTTGATGTGATAATTTTCAACATACGTCACAAGTATCTTTTTCATTTTTAGAATTATATTAATAAAATATATCTTTGCTACAAATTTGATAACATAGTATAATATGACGTCTTACTTATCTTATTTGACAATCATTGCATTTGTCGTTGTATTGTCGATTTTCCCCGAAATTGTAAGGTAAGTCCGTGTCTTTTAATGAATGTTCTTTGGAGTTGATCCAGCATTGCTTATTTTAATTTTCAAATAAATCATTTTACTAGACAACAAAACTAGACTACAAAGCGCAAAGTATATATATCAGTTGGATGTAGTTCCATCAGTTTTCACTTTCATTTGCAGAAGGAAACTTTATTTGAACTATTTATGATTCATAATAAGAACCGATATAATTTTAAAATTGTGACCTTTCATTTAATACAATTTTTATATTTGCATACAAGGTGTCTTCCTGCGCCATTTGCCCAACCACAAGATTCAAGGCAAATTTTGGAAAAACCGTCGAGTGAGTAGTGAATTTTATAAAATACTAGTTTATAGGTTTTCATAAAATTGAAACTCCTTATTATTGAATTAGAGTCTCAGATTTTGATTTCATATTTTCGTATTCATTATTTTCTGAATTCAACCGTCTCAAACATCACGTAAATCTTTCACGATCCAATGTGAAGACAATTGCTATCACGATTTTCAATCTTACCGAGTATATGTAGGAATTCGAATTCACTTAGGCGTGGAATTTTGTAAGCATGACATTAACCATCAACATCAGTTTATTTATATTTTCGGAGAAAAAATTCAAATGAGAAAAAAGTTGAAAAAGAGTACATTTCATTCTATGATTGAATTACTTTAGGCCAGGAATACTGCGGCAATCATAAGTCTTGGGTAGTCAATATTGAACATATTTCTCAATCGGACAAGAAATGTAAAGGAATCAGAGTGTCAGACGATCTCATCATCACGGTGGCACATTGCTTTGTAACTTCTGCAAATGTACACGCAAGAGCTTCGAACCCCACAGAGTGGTGAGGAATATTATATATCATTGTTATAGAAACGTTGAATGAATTTTTGCGGAAAAATTACCTATTTATTATAAACATTTTCGTGATATAGTAGATTAATATTAAAAGATGCAGCATTTAAAAAAATAATACTCACGGCAGTACTACGGTCCTTGACTATATTTTTAAATTTTAGTTTTCAACCGAGTGATTACAGAGTGACGGACCATTCTGGCAACGAACAACAAGGATCACTGGTTCAACACAGCAAAAATTACCATTTTGTACCGAGGAACTTGCAATATAGGTAACCAAATCATTCATTTTTTTTACATTGAGTAACTCAAACATTGGCGCCTGAGGGTCCCGAGACAATATATAGTCGTTTGAAAAAGTATAAAAAAGTATTTCGTAATAACTTTATCGATTCATTTACTTACAAAAATTTGATGTTTTGTATATTTAGACATGACATCGCTGTGATCAAAGTTAATTCTCAAGTCAGCTCACAGTCTTGTTGGCGAGATGATGCCAAACCAGGTCCTGATGATGTTTGTTGGATTTATTTAATGAGAGGACAAGGTATGGTTTTGTGTTTATTTTCGGGGAATATGATTTTATTTCAGACTACAAAACAGTAGATCTCGAAACGAACTCGGTATTAGCTGGTTTTTGCGACGCCGAGTGTTGGGTCAGAAACCTTTCCAATAGTAATTGAAAACGGGTTTTCGACTGAGTTGTATTTATAACAATTAGCGCTCAGTAGTGTACGTCGTGCCGCGCATTTTGTCAATGAATGTGCTAGATAGAAAACGCGTTCCCATACCTCCTTTGTTTCTTGAGTCTAGCCAAATGTCAAGCGATGTTCACACTCCTTTTGAGCTAACCTACCAAGATCATTTAAACACATCACACATGCATGTAGAGATCCTATGTCAGCGTTTCAAGAAAATTGAATTACAGTATGATTACAGATATGGAATATAAAAAAGTGAATACTAAGTCTTGTCACGAATTGTATGGATACGAAGAATACAAACACCACGATAGTCCCAATCTTCAATGTACTAAAGAAGGAGATGCGGATGGCGTTGTGCCGGTAAGTTTTTTTTTGATTTTTCGACTTCTACCATGAAGCACGAATCGAAACGCCTGTTCAATAACTAAATCATTGTTCTTTATTAGTATTGTAAACGAAGTGGATTGTTAATTGCTGCAAATGCTTCAAATCAACTAAACGATCTTTTCAATATTTAGTCGGATAGTGGAAGTGTTATCGTTTGCGCCGACAGCGATGGAAAGCACTATGTCAAAGGTCTACTTTCAATGAAACACAAAAAGAAGGAGTATGCTCTTCTTATGGCAGTACATCGAGGAACTCATCGCGATATTCAAAATCAGAGAGCGAACGATTGTAAAACATGGAGAATCTGATTTAACGGTACATCTTTATTCAAGCTTAATCTTCAGGCGGCACTGTAGAGACAAATATATCGCGTTGTTCGGGCTTTCATGCCACAGATGCAATATTAGAATTGAATGTTGAAGCAATTTTTTACTGTAAAGTCTTCAAAAATAGAATATTCAAAATAAAATTACCCACCTGAATTTTGAGGTTGCCTAGACCCTAGACGACATATAAATCATTCATTTTGTATAACATCATATTTATATTACAAAACATTAGTTTAGGATATCATAACGTGCTTTTCACGCAAGAACCCGACATTAGCCAATACCAATTATATATTATTAGTTTTATTTGTTGAATATCAACATGTTAAATGTGCAATGATAACTGATAATGTTCACACATATTGCTATTTCTTTTCGCATGATGTTTTTTATAAAAAAAACTTGCGACTATGTGTGTTTTTATCTATTTTATATTTCATGACACCGGTGTTTTTACTGTTTTTGATACTATTTAAACAAGAGCAATGTGGTGCTTTCTCATTCTACATTTCTCACTGCCAAAATTGTATATAAACCAACTAATTTGATAGATAAAATTATGCAAAACTTAATTTCGTTCACGCACATTTATTTTGTAATCAATGACTGAACTCCAGCCCTGACTCAAACCCAATGTCACAGATCAAAACAAGAACATATGAGAGAGGTTTCTGCAAAATCTAAATTTTCAATGTATAATCGAAAGTTTTTATATTTTACTATAATCATTAACTGTTACTTTTTATATTTAATTTTATCTGCTGTTGTGTGGCTCTTGTCTGTCCAATGTCTGCTTCTTCAAAATTTTATATTTATTATTTATCTAAAAGAAATAAAGATTATTGATTGCCATTTATCTTACGAAAAAAGATATATATATCAGAAACATGCAGAGTCCAATCTGGTTTACAACCACGTCGAATCTTCAGAAGAGAAAGAGCTAATGTTCAACTTTATGGTTTATAAATATTGCTATTTCCAGTCCTATTTATTACTCTCTTGTCTTTGATCAACTGGGTTAGAAACAGTAGCGTGAGAATGGACGTTTAGTATTGGCTCAGCAACCGTAGAAAAAAAATTTACAACATTTCTCCTGAGATTTTACACAACTATATGTTTAGGTTATCGATGCTGCTAGACAAACTGATTGATTATCTTCTCTAATTTCCCAAAAACGTTAAAGACCTCATCAAAGATAGCGTCTTCTAGTTATTGGCATTTTAAAAATCTACAGCATCTTCTGCAAAAAATCCCCGAAATTGCGTAGGGGACTTATGCAGGAATTCAAAACTCTGGTTGGAATGCACTATGAACTCAAATACATACCGAAATTGAATTAGTTAAATATGAAGGAATCATATGTATAAGTACCTCTTCATGTTTCTACAAGCTAGTGTGGTTACGATATTAGAAGTCAAGAAAAAAACTCAATATTCAACAATATTCTTATTATAACAAATGTATACTGGATGTTTAGTGCTGATATTAGTGCACATATTGCTGTCGACAAATTTGCAAAATAACGAGAATGCTACGTTGTCTATTACGACTATTAGCAAACCCATACACCGGCTATACATATATATATATAAATAAACAAGCACTATCTTTAAAACCAATTGTAAGAATTATAAATTTTGTAGCTTTCAATGTGTTACAACAAGAAATATAGACTAATTAATAGGCGAATAGATATAAGAATAATATATAATATATTTTTCAAGAGATTCAAAAGGGACATATTTTTCAGGTAGTTGATAAAATTGCATATAAACACTTTTGCATATTACACTGTGAAAACTATGAAAAATTTAAAAAAAAAACTAATTATGTGAATATTTTCTAATATTCAAACCCAAATTGACAGACATATTCTTGGAGTTACGCGGTAAATCATCTCGTGCAATTTGAGATCGTAGACGTGTTCATCTGTATTCCTGGCTTATTATGTTCGATTCCATAATCTTGTTCAATAATTTTTACAAACGGTGAATTATAGAAATAATTACCAAAATAAAAGGTTTGCTATAAACAAAATCAGGATTACTAAAATGCTACATTTTAATAGTCCCTTTGCGAGGGAACCCAATACTTCATGCTGATACTTTATCGCAAGGGGGTGATGTGGAGCTGTATCGACAAGTGATGCTCTGATGTTTGCATGAGGGAATGCATCATCTGGTATTGGAACTTCAAGAAACTTACACAGAGGTTCCCATCCTTCCTTGCAGTTAAAAACGAGCAAATTGTTTGGTTGTGCATTCTGAGAATATATAACTAGCTTGAATATATCATATCATAAACAGCACACAGCCTATAATTAGGGTTACCATATTTTTGTGACTTCAAAGCGGGACGTCTCCAAAGACAATGACCCCTTAGGCCCTTAGCTGTTAACTTTACATTTCCGATTTTACTACATAGGCCCACATTTGAAGCTATCCCGATTGTTCGTTGACCATATTGTCATCGAGAGTTCATGTGCATATTCTCTGTATAAATATCGGGTTCAGTTTGAAAAATAGAAAGAAATTGACGTTAACGAAGTACGAATAATTTAGACTAATTAGTATTGGTTCTACATGCAATACGTTTGCTAACAATGTTAGAGAGAAACAACGAGACAAACGCATTCACCTGCAGTAGATAGGCTAGCTCTAAGCTACACAGCAACAACAGTAACAAGAACATGTTCGTGTATTATGCTGTATGGCTGAACGTCAAAGCGGGACTTTTGGCTGACTTATCGGGACGGCAGGACAAGAAGCTAAAAAGTGGAACTGTCCCGCCTAAAGCGGGACGTATGGTGCGCCTACTCTTAATGAAAGGATTAGTAAACCATGGCATCTGTTATCAGCATCTACGCTTAATCTTAATTAATTGAAAACGCTCTTTGGCGTGCTCGGTTCACAGCACAGTGATATATGTTCACTGCAAATATTGTACTGCTACTTATGCTCTAAAAAATCATAAAACAACAATTTATCGATCCTAAAAATTATCCTGCGGCATGTGATATTCACAACGAGAGGTCACTGTTGCAATTTTAGTGTGGTATGTCTGAATCATATCAAAAAATATCGAAACTGGCATTTTACATACAGTTGCCCTTGGCTACGACATACCCGTGTGAGAGCTGATTTTCTTTCACATATCAAAACTACGGAAAGAAATCGAATGAAATTGCAAGATGACTTGAGACTGACTTTTTCTAACACACAAACACAAATTTCAAAGTTGGCTGCACTGACGTAAACTCTACCATCACATTGAATATAAACAGTTAATAGCGAATAAATGTATATATTGCTATGATATTCATTTTTTGTTGTTGTTATGAATATTTATTTAAGAAAATATAGTTAAAGCGGTCGTGGCATGTTTGAAATATTCGAAAGGGGTCGCGAATAAAACGTTGGGAACCACTGACTTAAAGTATATATATGCAACCTTTAGAGTATATTGAAAAATTCCAAAATGAGGTAGATTTTTGTATATATTATTTTTAGATGGCACTGCTACCTACCAAAGTTTGTCACAGTTTAATTTTATTTTTGTTTAAGTGCTAGCTATTTATTTGGAAAATCAAATAATGGTTAATGCGAGATGAGAACGTTAATAAATTATCATACTTGGATCACGTGAGCGTTGTGAGCTCTGTATTTCATTTTCAGTAGTAACTCATTCATTGTTGTTTTCTTTCCCAGCACAGTTCGATCTATTCCCAAGATTACTTTGTCTGAATGGGAAAACATCATTTTCGGACTAAATATTTTAGAATTCTATGCAATAATAATATTACTTACCCCATCAATATATTTAAACATAAACGAAAAACATATATATATTGTTAGGTTCCAGAATTTCGCATAAAAAGATTATCAAAATTTTACATATATACCTGAATACGATTATAAATAGTTTAAATGTAAATAATGCATCTGATATAAATATACAACTCTTAAAGAGACGATAAATCCGAAATATGTGTAAATATTTTAAATTTATTCGATAAGTTGTTGTTTGCTACGGTTAAATACAAAGCTATTACATGACAAAGTAAGCATTAACCCCGCCATTCTTCCTTGCATAATCTCAAACACTTGAATGATTCTTGCAAGTACGTGATTATCGAGTTTCTCAATGTGATGCATCAAACTCTTCAGCCAAACATCTTCGGAATCTCTAACTGTGAGTATTATCTGTATAATAAAAATAAACAAAATACAAATGCACCGTGGTGAGCTGACAATATTAAAAACAAAACAAGAGAGCGATGCTCAAATATATGGACACGAAGACCAAAACAATTTTTGTCTTCCCACAATTCCCCCCAAAATCATATCGCGAACGAAGCTGGAACTGTGGAACAGGTACCGTAAATTACCAGTATCAGGTTTCCGGTACCTGGGCTGTCCTGGCTTTCCCGGATTCTGTGACGACGGGAACGGTGACATGTGGTAGCGGAACGCCTACAAGCACTTTTTAAGTTTATTACGTCACCACACAAAAATGAAAAACGAACAGATATTTTTGAAATATATAAAAGTAATAGCATTTTAGCGACAACAACAATCTTTCACCAATGAAAATTCCAAAGCAATTGGTCCAGTAGTTAAAGAGAAAAGCGATTTTAACAACAACAACAACAAAATAAAGTAAATGAAGGAGGAGAAAAACAACAATAACCACATGATAAAAAAATGATTCACATGTCCACTTTGTGCCCATTATTTGTTGCTTACAGAATTTCAAAATTAGGAAACTCTGAATTTATCCGATTATCAATAGACGATATATAGGGAATTTCAAAAATGTATGTTCGGAATGTTCACTAGTTTGGTAGCTGAATGATACGTAATTTGCTTTTGCTAGTAAGACAAAGAAATGAGACCACGAACAAATAACTAAATAAATTGAATGAATGGAAATCTCGTCACTTCGTTTTCGGGTAATTTTAATCTGGTCTTAGTTTACTAATTGAGTTTTAATTCACAAACTTTGCATTAGAAATAGTTTTATGCTTTCACACGACGTGTTATATGGCGTTCTCAGTATTTTTCACGTGTCCAGATAATAGAATTATTTTAGGTTTGTCAGATTTATTTTTAAAAATTAACTCATTTACGTTCAGGCAGGTCTCAATTGTTAGATTTTTTACAAAATATATTTTCGTTATTATTCTATCTAAACAGCAATAATTTATTTAGCAATTTTTGTTCATTCTGTCACTGAATTAGGCTTTCGTGTTATTTATACATCTTTGAAATATTTATTTTGCTATGCGGAAGAAAGTTATACTTTCTTTTTATCAATCTGATGTTTATCTTGCGTATGACCGTCGGCGTGATCTCGAGCGGCTGGACACGAGCATCTATTGTCTGGTGAGAGCCGTTTTCCGGTTGCCAGACCGGACCTGTGAGATGTTTTTCATTCCACGGCTGCGGTCGGCGATCTGGGTGTCCCGAATGTTGCCCGCGAAGCTGATATATTTCGAGTTACCCAGGCGTTCAAAACCCTGAACTCCCCCGACTACACGGTCCGCTCCGTTGCTCGTGTTCGGCTGGATGAGGTTGTGAATCTCTGATAATCGACTTTCTCAATAGTGATAACTCCTCAGAGTCATATCGGCGAGGCGTCGGCGCATACGGTAATCTGTGGGGCAACTGCGCTCTGTGAGTCGCCATGTGGGTCTTTTCTGGGCTATCTCCTCGAAGGGGAACTTCAAAATCACCTGATAGAGAGCATAAAATAGCTATGGTATTGCACCACGTGTCAAACACTCGTTATTTCATTCTACATCTGTAGAGCAATCGCCGAGTTAGCCAGCCCTTCCGTAGCAATTTCTGTTTTCGTTAATTTTTTTTTATATGCTTTTCACTCGGTGGATTGGCCTTAACTGGCGTTGAATTTATTTTATAAACATTAGTTGTATAGCCGCCAGATCAAGAGCCACTTGCGGAGCATCCAACATTACTCTCATATTTTGCAGTTATTTTCCTTTGGAGGGCTGGCCAAGTTATATCAACCGCATCATTTTTTTTTATATTGACGTGTTTATAAATTCATTACATGCCCAATTCATTTCTTATTCAGGTTAATTGTCATTTGTATTCATTTTTATAAATACTGTTTTTGCCCTCCTGCGCAGGGGAGGCCAGGGTACTGGCGATGTAGCCTACTGTAATAAAAGCACTTGAAGTCATTGTTGTCTACATAACTGATTAGCAACACGATGGGTCCATTTGGTCCACAAAGGCTGCGTATATGCGTAATTAAACAAACATTTAAAAAATGTAGCCTACTCAGTCGTATTGCGACTCTGTTGAGGTGAATATGTGGTAACTGTCATTTTTATTTACTTTCATGTGAAGTCACTTGTTTGTATTAGCACTGAGTCAATTAAGTGAAAGGCTACTCATTTAAGCACCTACGCAACATTTAAGGTTACATAAAAACGTCATATCGTTTATTCGCGTTTCATTGTGGTTATAGAGCATTGCTGGAATATGCAACCATCCAGTTTTTGAGATATTGCCTGCAAATAACTGCAACTCCAGTTCATTTTACTGTCAATGAGAGTACACATGCAATACTTAAACATTGGATTAATTATAGGATAACGTTTCACAACAATGCATATTCATATTCACCTTTGCATCCGGAAAATCCCGGTGAATTTCTTCCCAGAAATGACAAGCTGGCAAATCGGCAACGGCGTCTACGTTGTCGTACATTTTTTGAAACAATCCTTTGTCATATTTATTTTTGAAAATTTTTTCCCATTCGTTTTCTAAATAGTATAAATTCTCCAAAAAATCATAAACGTTATATCCCAATTTCTTCAACGCAGCACTCATTGACTTCGTTCCTGTCTTGGGAAGACCTGCTACTATAACCTTCATTTTGAGTAGTTAAAGCGAAATACACTTTGTTCCCGGTCTGAAATTCCTGTGGATAAAAGAAAATAAGCTTATTCCGCACTCCGCAATTTAATGCCGGTGGCGAAATATAGCAACAGTTTCACATTTGCTCATAATGTGAAATTCGCAATATAGGCCAAATGCGGCTCTTGATATTGGAATGTTTATCGGTAAATTCGGCAAAGAGGGCGTGGGTATACGACCGGATTCTAAACAAAAAAATTTGTCACTTTACAGTAGTAGTATCGACACAACATGATAATAATAAGCCGAATACCATTAGACCGTGTAAACCGTGTCTATTATTTCAACTAATGCCAATTGGATCTTTATGACTTCTTATTTCTTTATAATTACACATCAGATCCAAGTATAACGGTGTAATCATACTCTACATACGTCAACCTTTCTTGACTCTCAATTCTTTCATTATGAAACGGATGTCCTGCAGTCAGAATTTTTTGATAATCAACATCTAGGGCAAGGATGGCGAACCTTTTTCAATGAATGGGTCAAAAATTATATTTTTATCGCGGAACAGAAGAGAGTGGGTCACAGATATATGATCAATGTTTATATAAGTTATCTATAAGTTTATATAAGTTATCAATGTTATCTATAAGAAACTTCTGAAACAAATTTTTTAGACTTTTGTTGGTGTAGTTTCAGGCTTTATTTATGCATCAATTCTATCAGGGACTTTTTATGGCTCTCGATTTTATGAAATTAGAGTACGAAAACACGCATATGAATTACTAAAAACGTTTAGGATGATGCTGTAAATTATTTTACGGTTTCAAAGAGTTTGGAGAGAAATTCCACCCTGACAGTGTTCTATTTTTCGATCAACTTTCAACCTCATTAAGGCCCTTTTACACTGCCCCATTGTTATTTCAGATTTCTAGGCTTTTATTTCAAGTCTGAAAGATTTTGTTCTCTCTCGGTATTGTGGGCGAGGAACTAATAAAATACAAAGTAGCATCTAGTTCTCGCATAACCCCTAAAACAGTCTGCAGATAAACTTCCGAAAGAGACCAGACGTAGCGACAAATGAACATATCAGTTGTATTGTTATGTCATAAACGATGTCAGAGCCAATAGCTGAATAATGGTTCACAGCGTGCAGACATGCGTCCAAGATTAGGGGTTTTGAAAATTACCATACCGCCCGAAATTAACAATTTGAATGTGAGCTCTCGCGGCCCTGACTGCCCAACTGACGGTAGATTATAATAGTTTAAGTATTGTTAAATTAATTTAAGGCCGGTTTTATCAATTTTTATCACTGATATGTTAGCATTTTTTTTATTATTTTATTCGTGCCTTGGCGGGTCACGAATAAAACGCGGTGGGTCACTTTGTGACCCGCGGGTCAGTGGTTCGCCATCCCTGATCTAGGGTAATATTGCTCGAAGGACGTACATCAATACATTTTGCAACTGGGGCTGTCAAACCAGATTAAAAAGTTGTACTGGAAACTCTCGGTAACCGCCTTCGTGACCGCTTGATAACAATAATTCCACATGAATTTCTGTCTAATATCAGTAATAAACTTTCAAAAGTTTGAATTTTGGAGCTGGAAGAAAAGTGTGCCGTTTAATAGACATTTCCCACTTAAAAAAAAAACCTTGCATACACAAAAATTTGTATGCGTTGTCCAATCGATAACCAAAATGCCAGCATCAGTAGGGAAAAGAATTTTCGATTTAATTAACCACTTGACAGCCTAAATTTAAATTACATTTACCAACACAATCGCATATTCCCTTGATTGACAGAGCTGTTGACTACACACTCCACTGATGCAAACTGACTTTATTGTCATTTTGCCAATGTTAATTGTCTTTCATGCATCTGCGAGCAAACGTTTAAACCGGCCCATTGCACGTATCTAAGGAGCATAGAAAGTGACGCATACACATAACTGTTTCTGCCGGAAGTCTGACTATGCGCATGTTTGTTTGTTAAATATGTACGTAGAAAACGAACACCAATGATATTACTGTATGTTCAATACAGATCCTGTGATCATAGTTTCCTTATATTCATTTTGTATAGTGAGGTAAAACGAGGACATTAGGAATTTGTTTGAACATAAACATGCGAACATACTTCAGTGGTATTTTCTTTATTTGAAAAACAAAGTTCTATCAATTTTATTAAGTGTATACTTGTAGTCTTGCTTATATATGTCTACCACTCGACAGCATGATACAAGGGGGTTTCTATTGTGCATCCATGCTACAGAGCAGGGCTACTCAACTGGCGGACCGCGGTCCGAATCCGGACTATTCGGGTATTCGATTCCGATCGCGCCCAATTCTTTATTTTGGATCATTAGCCCCACTTTTGTTTCCTTCTATAGAATCACTTTTATAAATTAAAATATATATTAAAATGAATATAACGCTATATTAAACAATCTTGATTAGCTAATAATCATTAGTCGGCCGAGGAAGTGCGAAATATGAGGATGTCGAAATATAATTTCTGGAAGGTCCGCCCCCAGTAGTGGAATTCAGCCGGTTCGCACTGGTTCTATAGAACCGTCTCACGAAATTTTATCAGCGAATCGGTTGGCATTACTGAAAAAACATGACTTTTTGTAACAGAACCGGCTGAAAAATATGACATTTGTGTGATGAAACCGGCTGACAAAAAAATTGAATCCCACCACTGAGCGGACCCGAATATTTTTGATGTTTTGTATGCGGAACTTCGTTAAATATAGTTGAGTAGCCCTGCTTTTGAGCAGAGGTTTCCAAACATTTTTTTTCTTCCAAAGCTCATTCGAAAAATCAAAACAGAAATTATTCGGCGCACTTCGGATATATGACTACAAATGTGATCAAAATTTGTCATTTTATATATATCATAACATAAAATTATTGGAATATGTTTCGAGGAAATTTAGTGTATTCGAGTATTTTGAATAGGTGCGTCAAATACGTCGGTGGAAAACATGCGCCTAATGTTTTTGACAACATTTTTAATGCTAAGACGCATTTCAGAGAAACAGACTCTCATTTCTTTTCCAATACAACAAAGCATCTCTATCTTTTGAACATTATATTGCGAAGCGTTGAAAATCCAGGGTTACATAGATATGATGTTCAAAACTGCATCAAAATAGCTAACGCCCATTTACCTGATAAACGGTATTATTGGATGGGAGGTGAACCTATAGAACGTTTTGGGATTATATTGTTATTTGTATACTTTTTTTCATGTTGTGAAAAAAATCGCTTTTTCCCTTCAACTAATATACTGTGGCGAATGTGCATTGTGTAACTATGAATTATAATGTATTTAACCCTTTCATTTTAATAGTGTGTTCCATTTCCCACAATAGGTCATTTTATTGTAGCAACACTGATTACTGATTACATGTACTGCCTTTCTCGTATCGACCAATTTGATGACGTATCGTTCCGGCTTGCCGAGAGGGCTGCATAATATTGTGTTTTGATTCACTCCTGTTTTACTGCGTTAAGTGTGATGTGTTTTGGTTCACTCCTGATTTACTGTGTTAAGATTTAAGTGTGTTTCAATTTTATCTGTTTTCGGAATTTTGGATTGTGCATCTTCCTATAATATACAACAACGATTAGCATCAACACTGTGTGCTTATTATCGTCTGAAGGAATCCAGATTGGAGTCACATTCCATAACGCGTGTCAAAATAATAACGCGGGAATCGAACTTAAATATATAGGGCGATAGTCTCTATCCCTGAGATTCACCATCTCATCTCTTTCTCCCTATAATACCAATTGCTTCGAAATTATCAGCGGTTAAAGATTGTTATTATCGCTAACAAAGCTATTTTTGTGAGCTCTATGGGAGTATGGGATTCATTTTTGTGTGTGTTATAACGTTATCAAAATTTGCGCACCTTGTGGAGGTTCCGCGAACGCAAACCAGGAGTCGCAGTTTTTACCACTTCATGGCAGCTCCTGCCACGAACGAACCGATGGCGGCTCTGGTCATGGTCATGGCGCTATTACCGGTATATTCACAAAGTCATGTACCAGATTTTAGTTTATCATGCGGAATTATACCTACTTGAACCTGAAACCTAACCCCAAATCCATCAAAACTGTATTCATAAAAAAAAATGATTTTCGGAGAATTGATAATGAAATATTTGGTTTTGCACTCACGTCCATATATTTGAGCATAGCTCTCTTGATTGTTTCTTACATTGCAAAAGACATCTAAAAATAAATCATAATTCTGGGATACGTTACTGTGACATAACCCCGCTCTCTCGGAAAGTAACATTAGCTATTTACTAGCTACCCTCGCATTTTATTCCGTTGAATTTATCAAGTAGCGTGGCTCATTTTAGATGTATTCCGTAAGTTCTCTTGGAATGGGGAGAATTCCAGTGTCGGGCGATGGCGACATCAAACGGCAATTTGCTAGCAACGAAACCATGTATACCTAAACGATAACTGCATTGTTAAAGAGTTGTTGTATAGCGCTTATTCGAACCAGTCACGACTTAAAATGTGATGAATAGCATTCCAGTTTTTTTACAACCTAAGGTTTGCAGTGGTATAAGCACTATAGAATATGTACAGATGGAGATCCTGCGATGTTGGGATTTAGATTTGGTTTTCAAACAAAAGTAAACGTAAAATCTCCTTAAGCCTCAAGAGCACATTGCATGCTTTATTGATATGCTCTTACCTGCAAAACTGTCTTTGGAAGCTTTACACGTTATTAGGTGCTCCCGAAGTATTCGTACCAAGATGGCGCACAACCTGAACATAGTATGTGTACCAGGTTAGAGTTGTTCAGGTTGTGCGTCATCTTGGTACGATGCAAAGGGGTCCGTGACCAATACGACAAGCCAAAAGGGTTCTCTAAGAAAAAAGATTGAGAAACACTGGCCAAGCATACTAATGTTTGTTTGCATTGCACTACATCCGCTCCACGAGGTGTCTTTCTATGTACGAAATACATTTCATGTCAAATGCTGAAACCCCAACATGGACTGGTAACCGGAAATATGGCGCCTTGTGCCCGGTGACCTGTCTCCTGGCGTTTTGAAGGTGAGCGGTTGAATGAAACGCAGGCAGGATGTACTGTATCGCGGTTCCGGCCAAAGACTAGCCTACTGTTGCACTGAATATTTACCGGTAGTTGTTTATGCTTTCATTGTAACCTGCGGTATTGGGAATTCTTGTCTCTTTTTGGCAACAATATCTGATTCTGCCAATGTGGTCCGCAACCGCAGTCCAGGTGCGCTGGTTGTTCAGTAAATCGAATAAAACATCTTCAGTTCAATATCGTGGGTTTCCACCGGTACCGGTACCGTACAGTACCCGACACAAACGTCTAGCGAAGTACTAACTGCTCAAATAATGCCAAACAAAAATGTGATGTAAAATAAAACGGTACCGGTAACTGCTCAAATAACTAGCCTAAAGCTAAACAAAAAAGCAGAAAATGTGATCTGGAATTAAGGAGAAAAAGTATGTCTTGCACAGAATGAAATTCGTGACAGAGGCGTTGAGTTAAAATCAAACCTACTCAATTCTCCACTAAGTAGGTAGCCTATGTCTCATGCTGTCATGCCAAATACTGAAATAGAATGCCGCATTGCGTTTCGCGCTAGACAGTCTTTTGTTGACGAAAAAATTAAAGTTTGGGCTGTATTTCCCCCATCATATGTTTGTTTGACGTTATTCAAGCAGTTACGGCTCTAATTTTCAAAACACATTCTTTTTGTGTTCTAGCAGTTACGGCGTTTAGGATTTATCAGCTTATCATTTCACTCAAACAGGCCTTGCTATGATACTTCGCAATATACTGATATAGGCTACAGCGCTTTTTACCAAAGATGAGCCAATTCAAAATTTTTGTCTTAATCTAGGAACTATCCTAAGTTCGCAATTTGACAGTAGCTGCTTTGACATCGCATATTTGTTCAGCGTTATTTAAGCAGGTACAATGTTTATTTCATATTACTGTATTCTGGTATTAGATATTTGTTTAGCATTATTTAAGTAGTTCCGGCGTTTACTTCGCTTGACCTGTTGTTACTTGTTTCCATCAAATATTTAAATCTTATGTGCAACCATTGCTTTCATTGGGTTTCAACAAATTAAATTAGACTTGATCGGTTCACAGGTTTCATATCCTGATATTGAAATTTGCTATATTCCAGCTAGGCTATCTGTTTTTATTTTTTTTATCTTAGTAGCTGAAGTGAAATCATAGGCAAATGAATGTTTTCAGATTAAAATTTAACACTGAGGTCTGAGGGTATAAATTCCCCCCTCATACAAGTAACTTTAATTGAATTCCAGAATTTTAATCTCATTGTAGGTTACATGTTTAATTCTTTGAATGTCTGATTTAGTTCAAAACCTAAAGCATCAAAAATCACTGTATATAACACAGAAAAACTTGCGACTAAGTGATGGAAGATTGAGAAGAATTTCTGAAGAAAGCTAGCGCGTATCATAGTTCAAAACCTAATTTAATATATTGCAAAAAAACAATGAATCTCAGTTTTGGCTCTGGTGAAGAAAGTTCTGAAGACAAAATTGATATTTCAAGTTCGGTAATGACACCATATCTTAATATAAATCCACATTACCTGGACACTGCAGATCAGTATATATTACCAGAAGATGCAGCACCCATGCGATCAAGAGCTCAAATGATGTTTTCAACAATAGGTGGTGCTACAGTTATAGGTGCAGGTGTGGGTGGAATGGAAAGTCTCAGATACAGTGGTCTACAATGGCTTAAGGTATGTTATCAAAGTTATCATTTGTTTTAAAGGGGCTGTCAATAGATGAGAGATAATTGAAAAGCCTTTTTTCCCAAAATTTGAAGGGGAACTCACATAATATAATACATCTGTAAATTGGTGTTTTGATATTCCACTAAATAGGATAGGATAGGATTTACATATTTATCCCGGGGAAGAGGAAAGCCGATAAGACGGCTTATCCATATGGCGAACCACGGCCTCTCGTCCGGTTACCATTCCAAGTCGGGTATGGGATTAGATTTACTGTATTGTTTGTTTTCGGAAGCATGGACTTGGTGGTGGAGGAAGCCGTAACTGACCAGCGGTCACGTGAACCACCCAACGACGGCGAGGAGTCCAGCAATCCTCTCGCACATAACCATCCCTGCATGGGATTCGAACCTGCGAACCCACGCAGAGTAGTTAGAGGTGCGGTGGCGAGCGTATTTGTAACGCTTAGCCCGTTGAGCCACACCGCCGTATTTTTGTCACTAAAAGCAATATCAAGTTGGCATAAAAAATATTTCTGTCCACTCTGGCACTTTATTTTTTTTTTGGCAGTCTGTTCAATATGATTCAAAGCTCGAAAGCCTCAAATATATATTTTTGAGTCATATTTTTCAATTGTGCTAACAGGAGATACAATCACAGTTTGAAAACTTTATTTTTTCAGAATCACTGAGGGCTCTATTTTTAGATTTAAATATTGGGTTGTATGTAATTATGTCATGGTTGTGAAATTCATAGTCATTGTCTTTGCCATATTAAAATTAGGTTATATCCGATGTATCATACCTAACATTGCTCTGAGAAAAATAGTTAGAATAAAGGCAATTACTCAAACTATAGCCTAATCCCTGATATAGAATATAACTAGGTGATATTGTGATACAATATCTTTGTTTGTTTTGGTGTGGTATGACACTATTCAAAATGGCATGTGATAATGTATCATACAATTTCTTCTTTAGGGTAAATCAGCGAGGATGCAATTTACCAGTGCAATCCTGAAAAATGGAGGGAAAATGGCTCAAAAGTTTGGGTCAATAGCAGTTTTATATTGTGCCTGCTCAATTATTTGTGAAAAATCTAGAGGAGTCGAAGATGAATTTAATACATTAATTGGTGGGGCAGCAGCAGGAGGATTATACATGATACCAAGTATGAACATTATATTTTTATTGTTCAGGGTATGATTTTAAGGAACTTGATTCATGGTTTACAAGCAATTATAAATGATTTGAGTAGTACGAAGAAAACGGCTCGACATGATCATATGGGCTATTCCAAGTGACACTACAGGACAATTCCAGAAATTTTGCATGTTGTTAAATTCAATATATTTTCACATTTTCAGCTACATGTTTTGTTTCATTGTCCAATCAGTTGCTTTAATGAATATGTGAAAGATTGCACAAAAGTTACATCCAACCTTACTTAGTAGATAAAAAAAAATATAGTAAAATATAGCGTGACACTACAGGACGGCAAATCCACCATGCACTAACAGTATGTTGTGTTGTGCTGTCAATTTTTGCGATGGTACAGTAGGAGCCCATAATATTTTCTGGTGCAGTAGCTGAATTACCCCTCTATGTGTTGCTCAAGTTACTTAATGTAACACTGTAAATCCATGCCAATAATGTGCATATTGTATGTGACACTACAGGACGTGACACTACAGGACATTTTTCCACTTCGGAATAGCGGCATCTATCATCTCTTAAAATTCTGGTAATAAATCGTTAAATGGGTGAAGAAATGTTCTACAGCACTGCAAACATTCAAACTTTATTAACTTAAATCCAGTGCGTCAATTCCATATGAAATAACTGTACCACACAATCAAACATTTTGTGTCAGGATTCATCACAAAATATGTCAATTATGCCAAAATTTCTACATTTCAGGCCATTTTTTATAAACCATCAAAAACATGGGTGAAATTTTAAATTGTTCGATGAAATGAATGCAGTCCAATAAAATTCCAATGTCTTTTGATATCAAAAATAAAAAAAAATTACCTTCACTACACTTTTTAAAAAATTGATGGAATTCAACTTTTGCTTGGAATGGCCCATATGATGGCAAAACACCTGAGGCTTGATTGTGAGAGGTGATTTTGGTCGATTTCAGGACTGAAGTATGAAATGTGTTATGTATAGACAGACTGGGAATTGTGACCTCTTACAGGAAGCTTAGTACTTTCATGTATCTCACTGCAGGCTTGATTATATTTTAAACTCACACAATTCGCATAATTGACAAATCACATCTATAAATAAGCCAAATATGTACATACAGCAGTAGTTAACTTTTGGTTGATGAGATAGTACAGTTGTGCTAGGCAACGAAGTAGATCTTCCTAATAGTTGGTTTTTAATCAAGGTTAGTAAAGTATGTGTCAGTGCAACTGATCATTGACTCTTTATTTATTATTCAGGTGCCATCAATGCAAAAACCGAAATAGCAGTGGCAGAAGAAGCGAAAAAGAAGCTTTCTGTTTTTAGGTTTGTAATGTATTTAATTTATTATATTCATGAATACGGTACCCAGTTTATGTGGTAATACAATTCTGAAAGCCTTAGAAAACATAGCTGCTAGGATTGGGCTAGTTTTCCATTGCAGAAATATTCATTGCTGAATAGCAATTTTTAACATCTGTTCTTTCTGCCCATGTTTGATTAAAACAGTTTTAAAGCTTAATACAATTTTGTTGTTTTTAGGAGACTGCCTCCGATTGGACGAATATTATTTGGAGCTGTGGTCGGTGTAGGAGTTGGAGGAATGTTATGTTTATACAAAATGAAAGCGCCAGATTATATTAGAGAAATGACAAAGAGAAAGTAACATTCACTGAATATGAAACAATATTTTATACACTTGAATCGCTGTGTACTGGGACAGCATGATACAAAACCATTTTCTACACAAACGTGTGTTGTTTTTATAATAAAAGCCTATTTGTTCTGGGGTTGAACAAATATGATACAACTACTATAAAATAGAACACTATTCGGTGCCTATTTAATCACTGACTTTTTGACAAAGTACTTTTATTTCTCCCATTTCTCGTCTAATTTGAAGGAAGTATGCCCGATTTTGCTCCTGATTCATTTTCTCTCTCTTTTGTTGGCAGCGACGTCCGGACTTAGCGTGGTTCCTAGCCTACGTTTTCAGGTCTATTCTTTGAAATATTACTTTACCTATTGGCATACCTTCATTTTCTTTTGAACGGCATTTTGATATGCCAACTGGGATAGATTAACAACATAGAGGAGTTGAACCCCTTAAAATTGTTTGATTGCTAAATCGAACCAGCTGTTCCGTCCCAGTTCTAGTATTTATTGAATTAAGATTGCAACTACGAATAATTGGTTCACGGGAGTCCAAAATAATTTAGAAAAGCAAGTGTATATTCTTTCGCATGCCGGTGCTTTCCCAGAGGTCTGTCGCAACGACTCACGAGCGTCTTCGGGTATTGATTTTCGTCATTCTGAACTTTTTATAGTAAAAGGAAAATTGCTTTTGGATTGTTGTACTAATTTTTGAATGGGGAGATAGCTCTAAATCAGCGTTTCCCAACCTTTTTTGGTCGCGTACTATTTTCTCACTAGCGAAAACCTTTGCGGACTCAACGTGAGTTTTTTGCAACCGTACTCTGTGTGAAGAAGTAATAAAACCAAACACAACAGAATTTTTCCGAATTTCAAAATCGGTAATGCTACACAATTACGCCTTCGTTAAAAGGGCCGACTTCTTTAGTGTATAAATGGCCTTTTCTGTCGCACAATATTCAATTCTTGACAACGACAAGAATTTAAAGTGTTTTCCTATTTTAACTTAATTGTGTTCATGGTCACTCGCGGTTGCGTTGCGTTGACGTTAACAAGATGAAAGCATTGTCACTTGACACAAATAGCAACGGACCTATCACACAATTGCCGTCAAAACTATTCCACAAGCGCGCTCTCGCCTCGCCACATTCAACAATTTCACAACGCTAATTACGAATTTTAGTTATGTAGTGCATCTTTAACAAGCGATGGCACCAGGTTCATGAGCGAATAACACCATACTTTTAATCACATACGTTATCGCTAATTACGAATTATAGTTATGTAGTGCATCGTTAACAAGCGATGGCACCAGGTTCATAATCATAAGCGAATAACAAACAAAATGAATTATTGGAAATGTATGGTTTATTAACAAAGGATTGCTAAATGTGGCAGCATCGAAGAAAAAGTGTCATAAAATATTATTCAATCTTCGAAAACAAAGCATTGCAAAATAATGTTCAATTTTCGATAAAAAAAATATTAAAGAATAATGTTCAATCTTCGAGATTTTTGGGTAGCAAACTCGTCTATGGTGGCCCATCGTTGTCACGCGTAAAATTGAAAATAAAAATAAAAAATAAAATAAAAAACCAAAAATAAAAAAATTGTTGTGAAAAAACATAAAAATAATTAAAAAAAAAAATGAAAAAAAAAATTAAAATTAAAAAAAATAAATAAATAAAAACGAAAATAAAACAAAAAAAAAAAATTAAAAAAAAAAAAAATTAAAAAAAAAAAATTGAATAAAAAGAAAATAAAAAGGTTGACAACGATGGTCCGCCTCGTGGCCCATCGTTGTCACGCGTTTTCATTTTTAGAAAATTTGCTTCTGCTTGGGACCAACGTTGTCAGCCTTATCCTACGCGCACAAATGTGTTCCCTGGGTTTCAAACTCACTACTGATTTTTTGAGCAATATTCAATATGAAAATGTTCTATAAATTCTCCATGCTACAAGTTCAACAAGAAGTAATATATTTATAATAATGATAAGAGAATATAGAATTGAATACGAAAATTCGGAAAATTTGTTTTTACGTGTATAAGGTAATTTAATTGGAGAATGCTGCTTAACTACTCAGTTGACTAGACACTCGCGATGCCGGTACCGTACCGTCTTACCAAATACCGGTAGTCGGTTATAGTCGCTTTGCGTCTAACCGTACCAGTAGCCATACAATCACTCATGAAAGAATGGGAGATACGGATAGTCTCGTAGAATATAGACTACTGGAACACTCTCTGCGCCTGCCCCATACCGTACAGCCGTAACGTACCGATCCAGACAAATGATAAGTCGCCCGTGCTCAACCATTTATTTCAATCCATACTTCGATCCTAGTAGAATATAGTGAGTCGAGGTATGGATTGAAATAAAGGGATGGGCACGGGCGATTTATCATTTGTCTGGATCGGTACGTTACGGCTGTACGGTATGGGGCAGGCGCAGAGAGTGTTTCAGTAGACTATATTCTACGAGACTATCCGTATCTCCCATTCTTTCACGATAATTGCATGGGTACCGGTACGGTCAGACGGTACCGTACCGGCATCGCACGAGTGTCTGAGCAGTTAAGCAGCATTTTCCAATTAAATTACCTTCTACACGTAAAAAAAATTTTCGTATCCAATTCTATATTCTCTTATCATTATTATAAATATATTGCTTGTGGTTGAACTTGTAGCATGGGGAATTTATAGAACATTTTCATGTTGAATTTATTGGATATTGCTCATGAAAATCAGTAGTGAGTTAGAAACCCAGGAAACACATTTGTGCGTGTAGGATTAAGCCTGACAACGTTGGTCCCAAGCAGCATCAAATTTTCCAAAAATAAAAACGCGTGACAACGATGGGCCACGAGGCGGACCATCGTTGTCAACCTTTTTATTTTCTTTTTATCCAATTTTTTTTTCAATTTTTTTTTTTTTTTCAATTTTTTTTTTTTAATTTTGATTTTTTTTTAATTTTTTTGTTTTGTTTTATTTTTCAATTTTTTTTTTAATTTCAATTTTTTTTTTATTTTTTTTTTTCAATTATTTTTATGTTTTTTCACAACTCTTTTTTTATTTTCGCTTTTTCATATTATTTTTTTTCATTTTTTTTTTAATTTTACACGTGACAACGATGGGCCACCATACTCGTCCACGACTCGTTTGGAATCGATTTTAACATCTCGATGTATGGCCATTAACGCAAGTCCGTTCATTCTCTCTTCTTGCATGGTGTTACGCAAATATGTTTTTAGTCTTCGCGTCGATGAGAATGATCTTTCCGCCGTAGCTGTTGTCACGGGAAGAGTTGACAGAATTTTTAATATTTAAATAATAAATTATTTTATACAAATTGAATATTTTATATTTTCCAAAAATAACTAAAATCTTCCTAACCTGAAGAAGCTTATGAATATTTGGAAAAAAATCGAGCGAAGCAAACTCAAGTGCGGAGAATGCGTTGGCAGGAAGATCATTTACATGTACGTCGGCAAACTTCTGCTGCCACATCGTTATTTCAGCTTCGACTATCGGCCAGGAATCCAGCTCGTCGGAATATGTTTGGAAATGTTCCATCGCGAAAACTGTGTCTGGGTCTGTGATTGTATCAGAATAATATTAATTATATTACATGTTGATGTTTAAATGTTGCAATTGACTCGATAGTAACTTACGTGTTCTCATATGATAAGGGACGATTGAAAAACTTTTTGTTGCTTGTTGGAACGAGTCACCAAATCTAGCATCTAGGCAGTCCACAATAGACCTCAGAAAGGGCTTATAATTCCGTAGCAGCATAGCGGTTTTCACATCTTCAGTCGCACTCGAGCGCAATCCCCTTGTTGTAGTGGAAATCTCTTCCTTTTCCAGGGTTGTTTCTATATCTTTGGATATTTTTTCAAACTCCCTTTCTGCATTTGCCAGTCGTGATTCCAAACAAATTTAGACGTTTTTTTATCATATCAGCGCATTCTTTCAAGTCAATTGTTTTTGATTGTAGGGCGACTGATAAACTATGGGTGAGAGCCAATGTGTGAGCCAGAATGTTTATATTAGAAACAAATTCAATTTTCCTCATTCGCATTTGTAAAGCAATCTGCTTTGTCGGATGATACAGAATCAGATGTTCTTTCAATTTCATTGAGTGCATGTAGAACTGGCGAATACAGCTCGTGAAAAACTGCCACTGCTTCGTGTCGTTGCACCCATCGCGTTTCGCACAACGATTTTAGCCGGGTGTGCCGACTTTGGGGTGTGAGGGCCGTGATAGTATTCGTTAAGCACGCCATTCGCTTTGGACTATTGGAAATGAAAACAATCGCTTCCTTCATGAAACGGAGGGATTTTTGTATAGAAAAAACTTGACAAGCCTGACCAATGACGAGGTTTAGGCAATGTGATCTACAATGGGTAAATAACGCCTTGGGGTATTGTTCTTTAATCCAAGCTTGTACACCGCGGAAACTCCCTAACAAATTGGCGGCGCCGTCGTATCCTTGGCCACGCAATTGATTCAACTCCAATCCCCATTCAGCCAAAGTTTTCAACAACAGGTTCCCCAGATATTCTCCTGTCAAGGATTTAGCCTCGACAAAACCGAGAAAATCCTCGCGCAGTTCGTACTTTCCTTCGAAAGGCTTGTGTACATATCGCACACGGTGACCGTACATTTGAACCCATGCGTATATCCACGGGTTCAATCTATATGCGGGTGCTAAAACCCATGGGTTAGGGTTAGTATGGGTTTAACTATCCGTGAAACAAAAAAAAAATCCATAGGTGCAATTGTCATGGGTTCAAATGTACGTGGGTTCAAATGTAATGGAACCATCGCACACAAATCGAAAATTGTTCACAGTTTGAAACATCACTGGTTTCATCAGCCAGCACAGAAAAATAGCCGGATTCTGATATTCTTTGCACCAAAGCCTTTCGAACAAATCCCCCGCAGAGTTGCACTATTTCATTTTGTGTGCTCCAGCTTGTATATTGCGCGTTTATTCCAGAGCTAAGAATAAATCTGCGCAAAACTTCGTCGCCAGATTGAATTCGGAATCGGACCAGGGCACGGAAATTTCCTTTATTCTCGTTCGTTTCGAAGTCTTCGGGTTGGTCAATTTTCCCAAAATCTCTGTGCCCACGAAAGGAAAGCATTTGTCCGCCACACAATTTTACTATGTTGATCAACGACAACATTCCCTTTCTATTTTCATCGCTCGATTCTGTGACATTTGCTCCACAACATTTCCACGCGATGATCTTTGTATTTGTATGAAATTTTCGGCTTTCGTGTGTGCGAGCTGGTGATACTTCTTTGTGGCATGCGCTGCTAAAATAGAGGTAGTATCTTTGTAATTGTTCATAGGCTTTTTAACAAGCACCTGCAGCTGAACACCACTCACTCTTTCCGGGGCAAATATCCTGCATGATTTGCAGAATCTACCATTTTGCGATGGGCTATATGCCAACCATTTATAATCTCATCTAGCCATTTTCTCTGAAATGACACATATCTGACCTTTCCTTTTACTTTCCTCTCAACTCTGGGAAATTTGTATAACGATTTAGGTTTCCAAGTGTTTGTCAAAAAGTTGTACTTCTGTTGGTCCGAGAGTTTTCCTTTTGAATCGTATGCACCAATGTCCCATTCACTACTTATGACGAAGTCTGGATGAGTCAAGTCTGGATGAATTTCACTAGTAGCACTGGTCGATGAAGTTCCGGGTTTTTTCTGAACTGAAGGGTTTTGCTGAATAAAATAACTTGTTAATTTTGCTTGTTTTGCTAGACGTTCACTCATTGTAAATTTTGATCGCAATTGCAATAAATATCGACTGACGAAGACGCTCAATAACGATTGTCGAATCAGCGAATAGAATAAATGCATATTAAAGATAGTCATCCAGCTAAAGCGAGTAGGCATTTTTTTCTTGCCTTAAAACGGCAAGAACCGAATTTAACCCTGGCTGCGAAAAGCAGTTACATGCGTTGCCTTTCAGTTCTTTTTAATTAACTGGTAACAATATGTTAATAAATCACCGCTGAGAGTGAAGAAGCGCTATGCGCAGAATGCAGCTATCATGGGCGCGGGATTTCAAATAGGTCACGACAATAAAAATTAGGGTTTATTACCAGTTAATTGCAACAAGCAAGAGTTCTACATTGAAAGACGTTCTCAATCAGTACGATAAATGAGCTTGTTTTAAACGATCGATCGTTTTATGAAGTTATAAATACGGGAACATCAAATATATTTATTTTGGAAACGGATTGATATTTCGTGACGCACTCAAAAATAGTTTATGAACCATTGGCATTTGGCAAATATCATGAATTTATGATGTTTCTTCGTGATTGCTGATATTTCATTCTATTCTTATTCTACATTTTTTGCGTTATTTCAATTAAAATCATGTGTGGCATTTTATTTAACCGTTGACAATGGGGTAATAATCGGCGATTACTAAAAGGTTGAAATGGGACATGCAAAAACAAAATAAACTAATTGACGCCTGTCAAGGGGGCGGGGCCGGGCGACAAAGAGCCACATGTGTCGGTGTTTCTCTATCATCGGCAATTTCGGCATCACTTTGAAACTCTAAAACGCAAGGACACCCCGCGGAATAAAGACTTGCGCGTAGGGTAATGTTTGAATTACGATTGCTGAATAAGCGAAAAAAAACAAATGCTTATTTTCTTGCTTGAAACAACGATAAACCAGTTTAACCCTGTTGCCAAAAACAATAGCATGCATTATTAACAAACTGGTAATTTATGTTATTAAATCGTCGCTAAAAGTAGAGAAGCGTTATGTGCAGATATCACGGGAATTTAAATTCACGACGAATTCACTCTCAGTAATACAGTTACGGGCGCAGTGAAATGAAAAGTTGACTATTCTTGACCAAAGAGAAGGGTCGACGATTGCTGAAAGTAGCACATGCAAAAAAAGCTAATGAAACACATCGCCGCACATGTTGTTTTGCCATCATCGGAACATTATTTTAAAGACCTATAAACGCGTTTTTATTTCACCGTAACCCCCCTTCTCCCCCCCCCCCCCCCTTGAAAAAATCCTGGCTGCGCCCCTGGGTGGGCGCGCATATTTTTAACAAGTTAAAAAACGGGCGTATGGCCAATGAATCACATTTTTTCATACAGATCGGAAGTTAAATTTTAAGCAGCGCCCGAAGGCTGACCATTTGAATATTGAACCAATTGCACTTAGCGTTCAACTTTTCTGCGTTTTGTTGCCATTGAATTCCTAATTATAATTAAATTATAGGCTCATTCAACGTGTAATTGTGAATTATATACTTGTTAGGTTATGATATAATCAAGTCTAAACGTGCCGCAAAATAAATTCTGTCACGTAAAGAATATAATCGTAAAAACAGCTGTTTTGTCACTATAATTCAGAGAAGCGTCGCGGGCCTGATTATATTACTCCGCTGGCAGTAGGTTGCGGACCCTGCAGTAAAGCAAAGAATTCTGAGGGAAATGCCCTGATACGAATACTACATTAGCACCCGAAATTTTGCAATTTGCAACATGTCTAAAAAAGCGTTTTTAAAAAACTTATGTTGTTTTCAGTTTTATTTTCAGTATTTTGTAATGCCGCTTTTCAATTCAGAAAATTTAGGTTGCCAACATTGACACCTACCAGAAAAATTATTCCTCGAACAACAACGACTAAATCCAATCGTTTGATTAAACGACGCGCAAGTGACCTGTCGCGTCACCTGTTACCAAATTTTCGAATATTAAATTGCTATTCCAATAGTTGAATATTAGAATATATGCCAAGCCCTACTCATTAAGTATCCAGAAATTATTGACTCGATTAATGTTATATGAATAAACTTGCTTTTTATGTTTCATGTAAATCGTATCGTGGATGATGGTTAGGTTTCGCAAAAACGTTTGCGACTCGCAGTGAATTTCTGGTTCGTTGCGGACTCATTTGAGACCGCGGACTCGGGTTGGGAAACACTGCTCTAAATAAACCCTTGCTCTGGAATAAATTTTCGCGGTTCGCTCTAAGCTTACTTTCGCGAAGCTGTAATTTCCGAGAACCTACGATTCCATTGCGTGTCATGCTGTTTCAGAACTTTGTGAATTTTATTTTTTTAATCTCTCTGCAGAATTTGAGTGTTTTTATGGATGATTCAATTTCCTAATTCTCATAAATAAATGTACGCAAAGTTACATTTTCTTAGAAGCGCGTTCGTGCAAATGTCCTCTTTCTCATCTGGTGACGGGTCGGTTTTACCCCCAATGAATTTACGTATGTACCACGGGTCGAAGTAGAATCAATAGAACTGCCGAAACTCTTGTTGGATCTTGTAGCGAGTAAATTAGGGTAGTTACTGTGTATTTTAATATTTTCACCACTTAGTGTTAATAGTGCATGTTATTTGCCTGAAACAAGGCCGTTGCTCTAATTTATTTCCTTTATGATATATTTTCCCTCGTTCAGTATTGCTTCTTGCTTGTCTTTATCGTTCTTTGTTAGTTAGAAATTTGGTTTCATCACATATACTTGTATTAAAGTTTTAAATTATCTGTTTTCGGATCAATTGGATTGTGCATCTTTACGAACATTGGCATTCAATACATTGTGTGCTTTATTGACTTAAGCATATTGTATACTGTAAAGATGCGCAATCCAATTGATCCAAAAACAGGTAACTTAAAACCTTGATACAAGACAAGCAACACTGAACGAGGGAAAATATCTCATAAAGGAAATGAATTACAGCAACCGCCTAATAAGTAGTGAAAATATTAAAATACACAGTAACTACCCTAATGTACTCGCTACAATATATTCATAAAATTAATAGAGCTCCCGAAAGTATTGTTGAATATAATCAGTCACATTTAGACTATACGCGTGTTTCGAGGGCCCTAGACACCTCAACAGTGACTTTAAACTCTACGGATTCGATTATTCGATTATATATATATATATGTTTATATAATGTCATAAACAAATATTTTAACCACGTAAAAAACGCCAATTACCCAAATAGAAAGGTATTGTATATTGTTTAAAGTTGTATTTAAAAACACTGAGACCCAAGGTGGTAGTAAATCACAAAGGGACACACGGGGAAAAAAGTCTAGCCCAGCAATTTAACACATGGCGTCGACAGGTAGCGGTTTATATAAGTACGAACTATTTTTAATAACTTCACTTTTTCTTCAAATTTCATTGAATCAATGTCGAAAGTTATGTTGGAAAAGAACCGAACAAATCAAAGTTCACGGCTACACAGAGCATAAGGACAAATGAAAATGGTAATCTTGGGCCGCAAAATACTGAATTACCGATGACATTTATCTACAAGACTGAAAAATAGCAATGTAATTTCAATGCGGTATCTGCGCATGCTTCGGTAAGGAAAAGTCGACAGGGGACTAAGGAAGGATAAACGAAAAGTAAGTTTTTATTCACGGGACTTAGTGGTCACTTTTTTGGCAATACCAACGAAAAAATGACGATACTATGCAATTATTACCCTAAGTGGATGATGCAGGGTTGTCCAAAATGAATCGAATATCAACTTTTCGCCGTCAGCGAAGTGTTTCGTTTTAAAGAGAAATCTTCGAACGATTTTCCGCACTTTGTCACGAAATGCAATGACGGTGAAATAGTATCGGGATCTTATGTGCCAGCGTGCGCCTCATATTGTTGCGACACATTTGCACGGTTGCGAGTTTGGCACTATCGCGATTCCTTGCAAGCGGTGTTCCCTCTAAGAAAATGCCACACTGCGCAAATGTTGTTTTTATTGGGCAAGATTATTTTAAGGTAGAGCAGAATCCTAAATTATTTGCAAACTTTGTGAAAAGTTACAATAGTAGCCTACCATATATTGTCGGGATTCCATCAAATTCAGGGTATGAAATTTTGCTTGTCTTATGCTCTGCATGATTTCTTCCTTGGCGACAAAGTCTATGCTCTTTAAAAATTCAAAGCCGTAATTTTTGCTTCACCATGAATGTATTTTGACTAGGGCTGGGCATTCCGAATCGAATATGAAATTATTCGAATCGGTTCAGAGCGAAATTTCGAATCGCCGCCATCTTTCTTCTTTCCTTCCGCCAATGGTCGAGGTAAATTTCTCAGTTTTTTCTATTGAAGCCATATTTTTTCAACGATATTCTGACATATGACTCTTTTCACATTCCTTGACGCGGAATAGCAATAAATTTCGCAAAGTTTAGCAGTTTGTGTTTTAGCTTATTCATACCGGTATCACGATTTTCTTATTTTAGCCTTGCTTACTTCAATATACATTTTACTCACACGCCAGATAAAGAACACTATTATATTGATTTTGGTTAAAATGCTTAACACTCTTTTTATTAATTTCTGGTGAAACATAATTATTATATAATCAGAGCCATTATATAATGGCTCTGATATAATTATTCGGTATCATTCAGTATAAGCTCATGTGTCCCGATCTCGAGATTCAAGCAAATTTCCTGTAACAAACAGTGGGCACATTTGATACCTACTAAAACTTTATCTTCATCTGTGTTAACTTCACTACGGACAATAACAAGATTTGGCGGGGCCGACAACACGAAATTTCAAAATGTGACACTGACCCACGCTGGTTACAGAAATCAAGGTACTTGAGCGTGACAGGCACATGTGTGACATCACAATGACCAGTGGTCACCAAAATACGCGTGAAACATAGAATGAGCATTTTAGTTAAGCGTTTATTAATTAACGTAACTCATGGTTGCGTCAGCTAACGAAAAAATAAAAGTATTACTATTCAATACCACGGCAATCTGCAGACATAAATTGTGTGGTTAGCTTTCCAATTATAATTTACTTTTTATTCCTATTTTCTTAATATCACAACTCTAAAATACCACGGCAATCGGTGGACATAAAATGTGTGATAAACTGCCCGATTGCTATTAATTTTTGTTTTGTATTTTCGTAATCACGGAAAAATAATTTATATATACCATTTCCCGCTTTTGAGAAAATACTTCTGATAATGATAGTTAAAAGTATCACTTCTTACTAGGATGATTTTCTTTTGCGGCAGAAAATTCAAATCCATGAACGATAACATCATTCAAAATGCCTTACCGTATTAATTTAATTGTGATTAACCTAACGCATAGTTACGTCGACCTTACGAATAAATTAATGCATGACTACTCTACTTATGGCGGCAATCTGTGGACATAAAATGTGTGGTAACTGCATGATTATAATTAATTTTTGATTCCTAGTTTCGTACTTACGAAAAAACAAAAGCATTACAACTTTAACATAATGCGACAATCTGAAGACAAATAATGTGTGGTAAAATGCCAGATTATAAATAATTTTTTATTTATATTTTCGAACTCACAAAAAATAATCTATACTTTTACCCACTTTCGGAAAATAGTTTCGATAATGATTGTTAAAAGTATGGACTTTTCTGTTGTGCAAAATATTTATATCCATGACTGATAACAGAATTTAAAATGCCTTTTGCGGTATTAATTTAATTGTGTTCACAGTAGCCTAAATCAGGGTTGCGCGTCCTACGGAAAAAATAAAAGGATTGCTTTTATTAAAATAACTTCAAAATACCACAGAAATCTGTGGACATAAAACGTCTTAACGTAGGGTAAACTGTCCAATTATAACTAATTTTGATTCGCACTCCCGTACTTAAAAAGGGCATACTACTATAAAATATCAGGCGATCGGCGGATATAAATTTTCTGGTATTCAGCTTGTAGGTAACGGTTATTCCATTGTTTATTGTGTGCAAATTTCGACATACACCAAGATAAGCTGGAATTTATTTTCGAAGTATTCGAAATAGTGAATTATTCGGTATTGGCCATCCCTGTGGATGAGGCAAAAGTCTGTGAGCACTATTCCCAGTGCACGTTATTTCAGATTAAAAAAATTTATTCCAGTTAATAAGAAATTGATGCTGTGTGGGCGAAGATGGATGTACCCGACCTACGTATTATTTATTATACACGCGTTATCGGAATGAAACCCCAACTGACTCCTCAAACTATGAGCACACAAATTATTGTTATTCTAAATGTTCATATATTGTCAAGTTGCACGATCGAATTGAATCCAAACTGATATATTGAAACATATACCTAAATCTTAATACCAGTTATACGATTGAAATCCAAATCAGTAAGCAACACAAACTCACTAAACTCTCGGACGGAGGCGGGAACACGTCGCAAATAGGTCGATAACCAAGAAGATTTGCCAGGACTTGTCCTTAGTCGCGATAAATCACAACCAGGGAAAATATGGCATTGGCCTATTTATTGAATTCACATACTATTAATACAAATGGGGTTAAATAACAATAGGATAAGATTCACATATTTATCCCGGGGGAAAGGAGAGTCGATAAGACGGCTTAACCATATGGCGAACCACGGCCTCTCGTTCGGTTACCATTCCATGGCGGGTATATGATTAGTTAGTTATTTGTTTTTCGGGAGCATAGACTTGAAAAATCCATAGTTATATTCCACATTAACTACACTAGTAATTCCGGTGTTCAGTTAGAAAACTCATGGGTTTGGATACTATGGACGGTAAAATAAGTAAATGTTTACCTATGCTTCCAAACTGAAACATTGAGTTGGATGCGCAGGATTTTGTGCCGATCTAACATCGTATTTTACACATTGAAAAATCCACTAACAACCGATTGATATATTTCTTTATAATCATCATGTAATATTAAATATGTCAATAACAAAAAATTAGGTAGGTAGTTGACCTGGTTTCAATGATAAATAGCTGAAAACTGGTCAGACGTCGGGGTGGGGACAAGATTGGCTAAGAATTAACGAGGCCAATGCCGTGAACATGATCCCTCAAAAAATAATTTCAACATCTGTATCGATCCATATTTAGCCAAAAAATGGACGATACATTTCGTTCTTAGCTTTTGGTGTCCTTTTTCACATATTCTTTTCAAATATCTATCCACCATAGCAAAAGTATTTGACATAACGTCCAGAATGCCGTTAGTACAAGGCTGAAAAACCACCACCACTTTGAGCAATCAGCGAATTCATCAAGCTCACTTCTCACTAGCTTTCTTGCCCACATCACCATCCCACAGAGATTCAACAAGAGCAAGAGGATTCAAAAGTTCATTGTTCTTCAGCACAATTTTCACAACTTATTCAGGATTATCGCAAGGTGCAGTTGCCTCCAACCCAACATATATATTCTTGCCACAATATATGTAACTCACCCCCCATTTTACACCATACAATGCAGGACTACTCTGCAACTAAAAACCATGCAATTTCAACAGCTAACCAACTATCAGATATGCTAGCAAGGTAAATGAACTTTTCCTTTCACAATGACCTTTGCTGATCCTGAGATGTATACCCTTGAATCACATACGAGGACATCTAATTTACCACCCCGCTTTGAACACTGACGTGCACACAAATTCTTTTGGCCCAGGATCTTGCACCAATATGGACCCAAAACAGTGTGTGCTGATCCAGTCACTGGGTCTTCGGGAATACCATTCCATGGTGCGAAGTAACGCGAGTAGAAGTGACAGCCTTTATCACCTTTTAGCGTGACTATAATGCCTTTCACAATTGAGCCATCATGTGCTTTTAACATTTCTTGAAAATCTGGTGAAATTGATTGGAGTGTTGACTGACTACATTCATCATTGAGACGTAAAATCAGTTTCTTTGCATTGGAAGACAACAATACTGACTCCAGATGCTCATAGTACTTTCCAAGTACAGCGTTAGCAAGAGGTTCCCAATTTGAAGAATCTTCTTCTACAGGCTCATTTTTTGGGAAGTCCATTGTTATTTTGTCTGTAATTTATATAATACAAGAATACCTTTTTTATCAATTGCTCCAGGACAAATTAAAAAAAAATTATGTTTCTGTTAGCAGTCATTACCAGTCAGTCAGTTTAATCAGGTGCACATTATGTCAAAAGCAAGAAACAAAAGGTCAAAATGGACAATCAATATTGTTCACTCAAGGCATGAGAATAAATACAAGGCAGATGCAAACTTATGTCAATCATTACCTTTTACAGATGTAATTGTCAGGTCACCACTCAATGTAGAAAATGTAATAATTTCATTGGTATTACCACACTCAAATAATAGCACTGCTGCAGCTGCCAGGGTTGCATGTCCACACAAGGGAACCTTGAGAGTGTGATGATAATCAGTCTTATTATATGAAATAATCAAAAAAATTCATCAGATATGATTCCACACAAACCAAGTTCTCGACATGCAACCAATTCTTTGCAATTGCATTGTTATTATTCACATTATTATATCATACCGATTACTGAGCATATTTAAAACAACATATCAAAAAATGACATTTGTTACAGGATTAGAAAACAAGACAAACTCTATAAACTGCAGTTCTAAAAATAAGAGTTAGAGTAAGTTAGAATACCCCCATGTACTCATGTAAAACATAAAAAGTTTCTTATCCGGTGCAATGAAATGACTTAATATGTATGGAAATGTTTATTGGGTAAGACAGAGCAGATAGTAGCAGCCCATATCATATGCAGTATCCCTAAAGAACACTAACTTACCTCATTTGTGGGTGTAAACCAACGGAGCTTGAAATACTTTCCATCTTTGAAGGAAGTAGTAGAATCGTTAAATTCAATATACGCCGTTTCTGATATGTTCATCTCAGCTGCCAGCAACTGCATAGTGCTTTCTTGTATGGCTCTAAATCCAAAATTACAATTGAGAAAATATAAAAATGGACTTGAATAGGTCTATTGATAAAATAATTCTTCAATTCAACTTTTTTTTCATTAACATTGATTGAGTTGGACAATGACAGGAAGGTTACTTCCAACACTTGATGGTTACCTCATGCAGTTTCCCTGGTTTCTTCGGATTCCCTCTGTTTCATTCCATATTTACAATGAGAAATTCAAAATAGAACCATTAGCTTTTAAAACACGTATACAGTGATTATATTCTAATTGAAAAGGGTGTTATTTTTATAAAAAATGGTCCAACTTGAACCTTGTCATTTTAAAGTTTTGGATATCCAACAAATACCGAATCTTCCTTGCCAATCTCTTGTGATATGAATTATACCGATGATGTTAGTAGATCTGCAGCAAACATTTGAGATTCAAACTATTTAATTGAGCTGCAATTAGACGTCTTAAGTCTGTTAAAAAAACGCATTTTTGTGCACATCTCTGCATAAACACCCAGATAAGTCTTCGAGTTATATATTCATTTCCTTGATATAATCCATATTCCATACTCTTTATGTATATTACTATATAGAAACAAAAGAAAACCCATGCACCCACCTATCAACAAGACAAATAGCCGCCTGATTTCCACTGAATGGAGTATCTGTGAAGGCATCAACTGTATATATGGGAATATCCATGTCCATGAATAAAAATGACTATGATAACCAACAGATCTTCGAAAAAGAGCAAAATGTTAGCAAACAGTAAATCCATGGGCAATTTTTTAAACAAAACAAATATTAATTAGCCACTTCGCACCTGAAAATACTTCAAAAAAGCAGAATATGTGCCACTGAGGCACTCATACAGATTGCACAGTAATGAACTAAGGAACATTTATCGCTAGCAAAGGTTTTAGATTAATCGAACAACGTCGCATTCCACAATACACCTACATTTCCAGGCCAAGCAAATTCCAGAACATCTGACATAAGCAAAAAAATTTAAACTAATTCCTCTAATCCTGCAATTAACATTTTGCAAATACATGGAAGGTTACTAGCCTGAAATCATGTTTTCAAGCCGAAATGAAGCAAAAATGATTGCCCAGTATTAAGTAAACTACCAAATGAGTGACAATATGGTTGTTAAACATTTATTTTGACATATCAAATAATAATATTATCACAATTTTGGCATAATTAGGTTTCCCACTCAACATGGTTGAATGCACTTTTTAAACACATGCATTCCATAAACTCATCCACTTGACAAATGAAGCACAGTATCAGTACAGAGGCACACATGAAAATTATTACTTTAGGATTATAATCTGAAAATATTAGTCTGGCAGTGTTAAGGATAGAATAAAGTCACATTAATAAAGAATATCTCCAAACTCCAGGCACAATAACTTTTAAAATAGTAAAAATCGAATCATGTTGGTTGATATACATGCAATAACACTAAACAATTGCACTAATTGCACAAATATGAGATTTACAATTCTTGAACACTCGATGCATCTGAATCAGACAGGTTATTTAGCATATCCAGCAAATTTCTGGGTTTAGATGCGAGTAGACTATCACTATAATAAGTGGAGTCCTCATTATCACTGATGTCACTTAAAAAACAGTCAAGCTTGTCCAAGTTAGATCGATTTTTTCCGGTCGAATTCAAGAGATTGTAATGATTTTTGCTGTGGGACAATGGACTTAAATCAAGAGAGACATTGCCAGCAGAAGCTGTATGTCTTACCCTGCTTGCTACTGGCGATGAATTGCGAGGTGTTGGTGTGAAACGAGATCGACTACGGGACTTTATGTTGGGTGTGAAAAATACACCATTTTGACATCTCGAGGAACTAGGTACATGACTGCCTTCGCTTGATGATGAAGAATGCAGTTCAGCATTAGAATCTGTAGACTCCCATTTAAAATTTGGTGAATCATTTACATGCTGATATTTTGTGACATTGTTGGATTTGCTCATGGGTCGGAGTAAAATGCTGAAAGGATGTATTAATATTCTGAATAAAAAATGTACAAACAGCGATAATAGATGATAAATGAAAGATGTACAAGCTTTATACACTATCATTGGAAATGCTCTTCTACGACGATTAGAGATGATAGGATGAGCAAGAATTTCAGCAATGTTTGGCCTTTCTTCATAGTCTGGTGTTAACATCCACTGTATGATGCAACACAAATCTGGACTAATACATTGTGTGCATTCAGGTGGAATATACCCTAATCTTAACAATCGCCATGGTGCACCATGTCTAGGAAGCTCAATGTTAGAGGCAAGTTCAAGAATTGCAATACCAAGACTGAAGACGTCAGCCTTGGTTGAAAAGACAGAATTTAATAATTCTGGTGCCATATATTTATTGTCACCTTCCCTAGCATCAGCAATATCTGTGTTATCCACAACAAGTCCAAAGTCTCCAATTTTGCATTGGTCCGATTTTGAAATGAATATATTTGCTGGTTTTATATCCAAATGAATGAAACCATGTTTATGTATGTGACCGAGCCCATTCAAAAGATCTATAAGAATACTCCAAACCTTTTCTTCTGAAATGCTACCCTTGTTTTCCCAATATTCCTGCACACTCATTGAGCAAAGCTCTGTTTGGATATACAAACGATGATTTTCCTCCCATGCTTTCACAAATTCTACGCAATTCGGGTGCTTTGGAAGTTGTTCATGTTTCTTTACTTCATCTAATTTTCTCATTCGATCAGCTTCATTACGAAACTTTTCTCTGGATCTTTTCACAGCATAACTTTTCCCATTGTCAAGACTTTTCACTTTCATTACCTCACCAAATGAACCTTCTCCAAGCTTTTTCTCAATAGTAAAGCATTGTTCAAAATACAACTCTGATCGACCAGAATCATAAAATCTACTTTGAATTGCTGAATCAACTAGATTGCTCTCTCCATCCCCATCACGGAACGAAACTGCATGTGCCTTTTCATGAGCCCATTGCCTGTGTGGAAAGACCCTGCTGATAGGTGGAGCACTCTTCACAGGTGATCGTGGAATCAAAGTCTTAGAATGGAATGGCTGATGATTTCTGAATTGAAATAGTTTATTGTTACTTTCCAAAAATTCCGGGAGAGGTCTAACAGATGCAGCTGGAGTAGATGACGCAAATTTCATTGGGTCTGTTCCAATTCTTAGCAGAAATTTAGAGTGAGTGGGTGATGCTGTTGAAACTGCTTGAGATCTTGTTCTTCGACAAGAATCCATCATTTCTCGTTTTGTGAAAACTGGGCAGCACTGATTAAAAGTATATGTATTTTAAGACAAATGAGGAGCTGGGAATATATTAAAAAACAACAAAATATTGAAGATTGACAAATAATTTTATTCAATACCTACATATGTTCATTAAAACACATACACAGTCAATTTAAGAACTGCTTATTAAAGAATCAGTGAAAAAAAATGGAGAATACACAACAGAAAAAAATTTCCCAGCGAAGCTAAGTATTTTTTAAATGATAGCAGTAAATAAACAAGGTGAAAAATGATAACAGAAAATTATGCTTTTTAAAACTCAGTCGATAATTATTTTTACCTCACTATTCCTTGCAATCACACCAGAGAACATTGGTAACTGTAAACATTTATAACAGGGTTTCTGTAACGGAGCCGAACAGCCTTCACAAGGTACCATTTGCCAAAATCATATTATTTTTTTTATTATTCAATATTTATATTGTTTAATCCTTCATTCATTGTTTTACTTTCGTTGTTGGCTTTTTTTTTAAATGTGGAGAAAAAAAATAACCCATGGGGCCATGGGTAACCACTTATAAACAAGACTAGTTTTTTCTACAGAAGAGCAAAGGCCACAAAATTTTGAGACTTTGGCCACAGATCATAAAAGTTTGAGAACCACTGATTTACACCAAGAAATATTTTTATATGAAAATAAGCCAATGCATGCATTCCACAGTACCTAGTGAATAATATTGATACATATGGATAAAATAGCTGAGTGCAAAAGTAATTTCAAATCATAATATAAAAGGTGGTGGACAGACTAATTGCGGTGTGACTGGCCTACACGTTGGCGCGGAAGGTTTCCAGAATCAAACCATATGCTAACTTTGCATGAAATCACATTGTTCAGGATCAGATTTTGTCAAGTTTCCAAATAATTCTTCTGTATTTTTTGCCAACTTTGCTAAACTAGCGGCAAATATTTTTCTTTCATGAATGCTGGTATAATATGTATCCGCAAGGCTTGAAGCTTGCTTTACAGTTTGCAATATTTTGCTAAATCGATGTATTTTGTCCATATTTTCAAATAAATTTTTAACTTTTATCTTTTTTTCTGCAACCTCCTTAAGCAATGACTTGTACTCAAGAAACTGAGGTTTATTTGAGTGAAATGCAACAGGGCAAGTTGATGGAGGAGTGAAATAAATATTTGTTTCACCTTCTCTCCAGAACGCCAAAGAAGTCAATGATTGGGTTCTCATTTTTTCAAATTCATTATATGCCAAATGACGAATATCTGGAACGATCTGAAGTTTCGCTCTGGCTTTTTTATCTCTTTCATTGCATTTTCTCAAAATTCTTTTTATCTCTAATTTGGGCAAAAGATTATTAAGGGATATATTTTCCTTGATCAGTTTGTCTTCAAATCTCATTTTCAAATTGTCATGGAACAAAAACTCAGTTGATATTGCATCAACAGTAATACACACTAAATTCTCATATGGTTTCGCCCAAGACTCATTACTCAGAGAAGTTTGTTTTTTCACTATACGACTAACAGTTGAATCTTTCTGATTCTGTGTAATAGTGCTTGGTTCAATAGAACTCTCATTAAATTCTTTATCAGTTTTTTCTTTCAATGTACTTGGGGCACCATGTTTGTTTTTAATAACACTGTCTTTTTTCAACCTCTTTGCATGCGAATCATGGTAAAAAGAAACACTTCTCCGTTTTTCATGACTCTTCGGTTGTTTACCCGACTCCAATACTGTACTAACTATGACATTTTCCTTTTTACTTGTGTTTATGTCAGGCGCATTCTTTGAAACACCATTATTACTCTTGTTTTTTTGCTTTTGAACTGTTGGCGTGGAATGATTTCCTTTGCTCGTTTGTTCAGAATCACCTTCATATTCCAGGAGTGTTCCGGTTTTCTCTATCCTTCGTGACTTGTCCTGTGGTGAACCATATATGGGGTTATCCAATTGTGAGGTTGTGGCTAGTGAACCAAAATATTTGCCTAGCCGAAAATCGCTCATTTCCAAACTTTCAGCAACTACCTCTTTAATTGCTTGATGATCAGTTTTGGTAATATTGAAATTGATCGGCATTTTGCTGAACTTGAATTTTATCCAACATAAAATTTACAGAGTTTCTTTTTAAATCTGTATATACTGATGGTAAATAGACCAGCAAAATATCTACCTAAAGAAACATTCAAAATTTTTTAATGAGAAATTGTCTGTAACAATTGAGCACATGCTGACATGTCTATCTCTAGCCATATTATTGGGTATTACAGTATTATGGTTATGTCTTCATTTTCAAAATGCTCAGAAATTGGCAATGGTTCTGCCATCATCTCATGATTCAGTGATTACTAAATTCTGAAATTGTGAACGTTTTTAGGCTTTAAAATGTGTGAAAGTTTCTTAGTTTCATGAGGTTATACTGTTTTGGTTTTGTTATATAGGCCTATTACTATTATATAGGCCTTCCGCCAATGATGTTACTTAAAAGATATTTAAAAATTTCCAATTACTGTATTTATTCTATTCTGGGGTCTCGTGTAGTTTCGTACCTAACGTACTTCTAGTGGGCGTAGCATAACAATTTTTTGATATGTCAATCCTAACCTCCATCTGACTACGCCATCCAGCCCACTAGAAGTATGTTAGGTACGAAACTACACGAGACCCATATTCTGTTTATAGGCCCATTTCGCTGAAGGGTAGGGTACTGTAGGTAGCGTACCATATAATACTGTAATTGCTAAGGAATATGGGAATTTTTCTAAACCAGTAAACAGAGCCGAAGCCATGGAGCTGTGACATTTTTGCGGAGGAGCCTATCCCCTTACACTTACAGGTCATAAGCTTTTACATATTTTTATTTATAATATTGATTCAAAACTACAAGTCGCGCTTCTACTGTTCTACAAAACTGCATTTGATTAGATAGTCAACCGGTGGCGGTACCGGGAACGGATATCGTATTTCATGATAAGTTTGTAAGGGTGACAGCACATTTGCACCTACGTACATTTGAACCCGTACATCTGAACCCGTAATTTGAACCCAGGACAATTGCACCTGTATACTATTGCACCTATGGACATTTGCACCTACGGACATTTGAACCCATACATTTCCACCCATGGATTTTAGCACCCGCATATAGATTGAACCCGCGGACATTTGAACCCGTGTACGTTTGCACCCGCGTACATTTGGACCCATGTACATTTGCACCCGCGGACATTTGAACCCGTGGACGTTTGCACCCGCGTACATTTGAACCCATGTACATTTGCACCCGCGGACATTTGAACCCATGTACATTTGAACCCACGAACATTTGCACCCGCGGACATTTGAACCCATGTACAATTGCACCCACGGACATTTGAACCCACGTACATTTGAACCCGCGTACATTTGAACCTACATACATTTACACCCGCGTACAATTGTACCCACAGACATTTGCATCCATGAACATCTACACCCATGGGCATTTGCATTTACGGATATATGCGTCTTTACATATACACCCTTATCCTTCCATGCTATATAGTATATACTATAGTATATAGGATTGGAAGGTACACTTAGGATTTTTTGTCCAAATGCATACGTTGCGAAAACACCATGGAATTCTCGATTATATACTCGAAGGCTTTATTACAACTATTTTCTATATATTTAATTTATATTATATATTTATATTATACTCCGTCTGTCATTGTCATCGCAATTGTCGATATCATAAGACTCAATGGACAAAATGTTCCGCTGTAGTATGCGAGCCAAAATTGGGGAGTATGATTTGTGCTTTGAACGGTCGACGACTCTTGAAGAGCGCGAGCAAGGATTTTAATTGATGTGTTAGTTCGATCCCGCGCAAAGTTTTTCCACGCATCAATGCCCTTTTCCCCTCGCAGACAATTCCAAACTGTTTCTTTAGGACGTTGCAGCTGCGAAGATGACAAGTCCCTTTGCGAAAATAAGTCGGAAACATGGCGCCTACATTTTCCAAGACCACAAGAGGAAACGACTTACTGATTTACAAAGGCCACGAATATTGTAAGCGAAATGATCGGGTTTCAGATGCTACTCATTGGCGCTGCCGTCAGTTTAGGAAATTTCGATGTAAATCGACTGTTGTTACAATCGTTGAAAATGTAATAAAAGAACTAGGATATCACAGTCATTCTGGCGACAGCATTAAGACTGAAGTTGGGATCATCCGTGCAACATTAAAAAAGGCAGCATCAACACCATCAAATACATCGACAAGATATATTTTAGGTGAAGTATTGAATAATAGATCAACAGATGTAGTAATGCGCTTGCCAGGCAAGTCGACTCTGGAGGCCAATATACGCAGAGTAAGGCGACAGAAAAATTGTTCACGTACGAATCCTAAAAGTGCAAGCTTTGATATTCCGAGCGAATATTTAGATATCATTTTGCATGACACTGGCTCGCAGGATCGTCCTCGGATAATGGCCATTGGAGATCGATCACTACTTGCACATCTAGATAGTGACCCATATCTTGGCGACGGTACATTTGATGTGGTGCCCGATATTTTCTTCCAGTTGTATACAATTCACTGTAAAGTGGGCGCATCCTATCCACCATGCGTATATTTCCTATAACGAGACAAGCGACAAGAAACATACGTTCAGATGTTGGAAGCGTTGAAAATCATTTTCCCAAATGCTAACCCCACCAAAATCATTGTTGATTTTGAAATAGCAGCTATCAATGCATTCCATGCACATTTTCCTCTGGCCGATTTTAAAGAATGTTATTTTCACCTGTCACAAGCTATTTCGAAAAGTTGGTTCTATCGGATTAAAAGAGAAGTTTGAATGTTTACCTTCTTTCAATCTGAAAATTAGAAGTTTGGCAGCTCTGGCTTTTGTTCCCATCATTAACGAGGTTGCCGAAGTCTTCCCCTTGCTTTGCGACACCTTTGAAGATTTGCCCGAATGCAATCAACTTTTGCAATATTTTGAATCTACCTACATTCGTGGACCTCAAGTGGGTT